GGACGAGCAGTATGGAGGAATATTGACACGTTTTTTGTGGACTTTTATGGACCTTTCTGCCTCGGGCGCCATAGACCTCCATTATTTGAATGTCAGCAGACAGCAAGAAGCCTCCCAGATCTCCAGATGCATTTGAGATATCAAAAAAGTACTCCAGAGTGTTGTTCAGCATGGGGGTGAGTAGAAAATGAAGGCTAATCATGTTTTGGGTGTACTATTCCTTTAACCTAAAAAGGTTTTGGATGCTAACCTTTCAACATTAGCTATCATTCTTTGTTAGCGCAGAGTTTTGGATGCTAACCTTTCTCCGTCAGCTATCGTTCTTTATTAGCGCAGAGTTTTGGATGCTAACCTTTCTCCGTTAGCTATCATTCTTTATTAGCGCAGAGTTTTGGATGCTAACCTTTCTCTGTCAGCTATCGTTCTTTATTAGCACAGAGTTTTGGATGCTAACCTTTCTCTGTCAGCTATCGTTCTTTATTAGCACAGAGTTTTGGATGCTAACCTTTCTCCGTTAGCTATCGTTCTTTATTAGCGCAGAGTTTTGGATGATAACCGTTCTCCGTTAGCTATCCTTCTTTATTAGCGCAGAGTTTTGGATGCTAACCTTTCTCTGTTAGCTATCCTTCTTTATTAGCGCAGAGTTTTGGATGCTAACCTTTCTCCGTTAGCTATCGATCTTTATTGGCGCAGAGTTTTCGATGTTTACCTTTGTTAGCTAAAAGGATTCAGAAGTCAGTTTGTTCGTGTTAGCTAAATTTTTAGTTTATCAATATATATATATATATATATATATATATATATATATATATATATATATATATATATATATATATATATATATATATTGCTTTAAAAGGAGTTTTAAATATTTCCTTTTTCTTTTTAGAGTCTATAATAATCAGTTATTAGCTAAGACCTTTTTAAATATTTGTTTAGGTTTTTTTTCTGTATTTTGTAGTTGCTTTAGTTTCTGCTACTGTAGCTGCTTTTTGTTGCTAACATTTGCGTTTATAATGTTTACTGTTTTTCATCACTTAAAAACTTTTATTGTTTAATTTTTCACTTTAGCTAAAGGATTTCTGATATTTCGATCTTTAAATATCCATAAAGTGTTTTGGAGGTGTGAACCAAAGGTGTAAATATTTCCCGATTACCTTCGACGGTTTCAGGGATGGAAAAGTTTCTGCTTCAATCTGGGCCTATTGTTTACTTTTAGTTAAACCATTGTTTTTATTCAACTTTGTGTTACATGATGTTCAGTAGTTCATAGCATTGCATTTTATCACCTAGAAACTTAGTTTGCTTTTAAAAAACGTGTTTTTTCCGGTGTAAAGATTAACTGAAGATCTTTTGATATTTCATTACGCATTTTAGTCCTTGTTTTTTATTTTTATATTTTAAAGCTTCAGATTTTAGCTCTCTGAAAGCTAAAGATTAACTAACATTTGGTCTCCAGTTACAGTTTAAGACGTTCAGTTTGCAATAATCTTCAGATTATTAGTAGATTTTCTGGTTTCTGATTCTTAAAACATGGACATAAAACTTTTTATTTTAGCAAAAGACTTTAAGGTGGCTAATCGTTCCCACTAGCTAAAGAGTTCTGAGTCTTTTGTTGTTTTTAGTTTATTTTCAGCAGCTCAGTTTAGGTAACCGGCATCAGATCAGATTTACATCATTTTTAACAAGAATTTTGAATAATTAACTTATTTTAGTTTTTCATATTCAGCTGTTTGTACAAGCTATGTTTATCATTAGCTAAAGAAATTACATTACTAGACACCCAAAAGCTTGCTTGGCTAATGCTTGTTACATATCTGTTAGCTAATATGTTAGCTTTATTAAAATGGTAAAAAAAAATCCTGGACGCCACTTTTTAAAGTTACCTTTTGTATCTATGCTTCTTTTTCTATGTCTGCTTCTGTCTCCTTGAACCCCAGTGGGCCTCAGCAGATGGCCGCTCACACTGAGCCTGGTTCTGCTGGAGGTTTCTTCCTGTTCAAAGGGAGTTTTTCCTCTCCACTGTCGCTACAAGCATGCTTAGTGTGAGGGATTGCTGAAGAGTCAATGAGTCGATGCAATCAGCTGGTTTTCCTTAGATAGAAAACTTTGAATCAATCTGACTGGATGATCTGGTGAACTGGAAAGTAACCTGAGATGACATGATGTGAATTGGAGCTATAGAAATAAACTGAATAGAATTGAATAATCTGTATTAATTGTGCTACAAAGTTAAGCTATCCTTAGCATTAACAGCTGAAGAAGAACTAGTATCATTTATCTATTTTCTGTTTAAAATATTTCTCTATGTATGAATTTGTTTGATTTCTGGATCTGTTTCCCTTTAAGGCTAAAACCATCCTGAGCCACGCTGCGAGGAGATGAGCTGAGAGAAAAGGACGATTACATTCTAACATAGATCTGCTTCTTTCAGAAAGAACAAAATAGGCTTTGGATATTTTTTTCAATCTCAAGAGATTTTTTTTTTGTCTAAATATTTCTGAAGAAAATGGTTTTGCAGTTGGAGACGATGAGTGAAGGAGAAGCCAGAGAGTGAACAGAATCAGGACGAATGAGACGTTTTATAACGGGTCCAGATCTCAGCAGCCGTCCTCGTCTCTCACCCAATTAATCCAATAAAAATAACAACCTTAATTAAATCACAGTCAAATTACCACAGAGATTATTTAATCTGGGTTATCAGTCCACGTTCCAGATTCTGGATACTTCAGCAATAATTTCTGACGTAAAAAAGTACGTCCATTCTTTAAGGAAATTATTATTTCACCTCAATTTGAGTTAAATAATTTACCAAAAAAAGGAGATTATTTATTTCAAATAAGAAAAACAAACCCATTATCTCATTTAACTATTTTATTGTTTCTTATTTGGACAAATTGTGTTGCTTTATTTAATCATATGGCAGACATTTTGAAATTAATACATGAGAAATTTTGGTAATAAAGTCTGTATATAAAATCCCAGCAAACCGAAGCGATTTTATAACTTTAAATACGGTTTGGGCTAAATTTAGGAAAAAGTAAATGTGAAGTATTCGCTCTGCTGTCGTAATCTTTAAATAAAAAATAAATTAAAAACTCTAACATTTCTATTTCTACAAGACAGATATAAGAAAAACAGAAATAAATCCAATGTAGGGCTTGAATTGCAAAGCATCATTTGTTTATGTAAATATTTAAGTAGATTAAAATGAATAACTCAATGAAAGAAATAAGGAGAAAAACATTTTTAACTGTTTGTGTTTTTCCAACTGTTCAATAGACAAATATTGATTATTAATCATGAATTGATAGAAATATCGTAAGATAAGGGAAAAGATCGCTATGAACTTTTAACCACAAAGTAAGAAGTAAATTCTAAATATAACAGTATTAAATTTTTAATTACTCTCAATTTGTTAAAAAAGGACATAATTTGCAAGTTAATCCCATCTTAGATTATTTTCCTGTGTAATTTAATCCCTTTGTTCGGTGGTCGGATTGTGAAGGGAATAATCTGAGTCTGGGGAAAATATTTGCTTTAGCTGAGCAGATAAAATGAGGCGAGCTGATAGAGCAGGACGTCTGTGATTCGCTGGAAAACGTTGCCAAACATCCCAAAGTTCAGGCTCTGATTGTGTCGTTGCACAACAGCTTTGAGGCTTCGCCCCCCCCCCCCAAAAAAAAAATGTTTACACCAAACAGGCTGGAGCAGGAATCCCAGCCGTGACTTTTAAACCTCACTTTTTCAGCCGATTTAAATCCACATTTTTACACATAACATTTGCAGCTGAAATATTTCTATCGTTTATTTGTTTTTTTATTCTTTTCAAATGTAAATGATATAATTAAACTGTTGGGATAATAAAAGTAGGGATTTAATCACAATATAAAGAAGCTGATTGAAACAGATTCCTTTATTCTGACACTGGTTGGTTTAAATTAATAAAAAAAAGATAAAGTCTGGCTGAATAAAGCTGTTTTAAACAATAAAAAACTTTTTTTTTTTTATTAATTTAATTTATTCAAAACAACAGAATTCAATTAAAACTAATTGAGCCCTATGAAAATCAGCTAGAATTGTTTATATGGGAAGTTTTTTAGGAGGTGAAGAAAAATAAATTTAAAAATAAATCTAACTTTAAACTAAAATAATAAAATTCAGTTTAAATTTCTGACCCATAAAGCCCCCCCCCCCCCCCCCCCCCCCCCCCCCCCCCCCCCCTGAACATTTAACAGCATGGAGGTTAAAGCAAAGCAGGAGATGCAGTCAGTGAGTGTCTGGCTGCTGCTGCCTCTGCAGACAATAGAAGCTCCTGATGGGACAGAGAGCAGCTTTCCTCACTAGAGGGGGCAGCGGACCCACACAGCCGAACCGGTCCGTTACCAGCAGCAGAACCGGAACCATCAGCCAGTTCTCCTCCCTCCGCTTTATTTTAACCCATTGGATAAAAGCGCCTGATAAATCCATAAACATAAATTTGTTTTTTTTTTTAAAGGTGTGTTTTGTTTTTCCTCTGAATGCAGGAGAGGAAATAAGTGGGGGAGGGGGGCTGTTAGAGGGAAATCCCACGACCTTGTCATTTCCTATCGATCCTGGTTTGTTATTGATCAATAATGTTAATCAAAACACAAGTGATACCGAATTAATCATCCACTCAGAGCGGCGGGCAGGGAGACCAAACAAAGACACGCTGTGTGGGAATTTTTTAACATTTCCTTTTCTTTTTTCTCTTGGCACCAAAAATAAACATTTATTTTTACTGGAAACACCTGCAAAAAAACTTCTCTTTGTTTAATGTTTGTTATATGAATAATAATAAATAAAATATGAAAAAAAAACTTTTTTTTAACCTGATTTAATTTAAATGTAAATTTAGGGAAACGTAATGAAGTGTAGAAAAGATTCGGGGATTATTTTGAGTGGTTTTTATTTTCCCAGAATGTCTTAAATTGTTTCTAAATCTTTAGCTGAAGCTCAGAAAGCTGAGCGGCTCCTACCTGCCAGCCTGAGCGCAGACATCCTCTGGAACTCGGGCTCCTGCAGCCACTTCCACATCCGCCTGAAGGTCTCCCGGCCGGACTTTAGTTTACTCCAGGGTTTGGGGTTCCTCAGCAGGTCGGACAGCGTCCCCTGCGAGCGGCACAGCACCCTCTGGGCGAAGATGGCCTGCGGGATGCTGTACCTCTTCAGCTCCGCGGTGATCCTCTGCGCCACCTCCTTGGTGTTGATCTCCTCCAGCTGCCCGGAGCCGCTGCCTCCCTGCGTCCCCGACGAGGAGGAGGAGGAGGGCGGCCGTTCCCGCGTGGAAGCCAACACCTGCCCGTGGGACGGAGACTGGAGGTGCGGGTGGGGGTGGTGTCCCGGGTGGTGCATGCCGTTCAGGTGCGGCATCATCCCGGCCGGCGGGCCGCCGAGGCCTCGGTGCTGGTGGTGCTCGAAGTTGAGCATCTTGTCGTGGGTTCCGTGCGCGCCGGAGCCGTAGTTGTGGAGCCCCTGCTGGGTGTTATGGATGGAGCCCAGGCCGTTGCCCAGCACCGGGGAAAGGCTCTGACCCATCCCGGACATGTGGTCCTTATAGGGGGTGTAGATGTTGTTCATGCCCGGCAGACCCCGCTCGTCCCGCATCAGGGTGAAGCTGCCGCTGACGTTCCCGGACAGCCGCTGGTGGTGGTGGTGGTGGTGGAACTTGTCGGACACGGTGGAGATGGGCGGCAGCGGCTGCAGCGGGGTGAGGGTGGTGTAGGTGCCGCTCATCCCGGGGGAGGACGCGTCGCACGGGACGCTCATGGCGTGGTGCAGCGGCAGCGACAGCTCCGGCCGGTACTCCCCGCTGCCCTCCAGGATCATCCCGGACACCATGGCCGGCCGGGGCGCCAGCTCCTGGTGGATCCGCAGGCCGGACGAGCCGCTCATCAGCTCCGCGTCAGGGGCCACCCCCCCGTGCAGGCTGCCCAGGCCGTCCATTGTCATGTCCGCGTTCATGGCGTAAGCGTCCAGGTCCTTGGCCAGGCATCGATAGGCGTTAGTGTAGGCAGCCTTCATTCATCTGTCCTCTCAGTCCATCAGGCGGAGCGGAATCGTCTCTCCTCGGTCTCCTCCTGCTCCTCCTCCGGGATGGGTCAGAACCGGTGCCTCCCAGCAGGGTCTCCCCGTCCTCCAGCTCCTTTGTGTGGGTTACTGCGGATCAGACGGGCCTGTGCGGTGGATCCTCCATATCCAGCCCTCTCCTCCTCCGGTGCTGCTCTGCCCCTCGGAGCGGAGCTGTCCGCGGTCCCTACCCGGCCGCTCAACCCACCCTGCTGCGGGAGGAGGAGGAGGACGAACCGGCTGCCGCTCCGGCTGCCGCGCGGCCTGGATTGGCGGCTTAGCGGACCAATCAGAGCGCAGCACACAGCTGTGAGGGGCGTGGTTGACCGTAGGTCTGACCAATCAGCGTCTGGAAGAGAAGCAGCAGTTTTCAGCGGAGGATGAATTTGAACATTTTTCTGTTTCATTTTTATTGGAGCGTTTTATCCTGTCAGCAGGGGCGGATTTAGGACATTTGGGGCCCCAAGCAAAGACAGACAGGCTGCCTCTCTATTGAGGATAAATATTAATCGTTCTAATGAAAAAACTGTAGCTTTGACCATTAAGCAGATTTTAGATATTTCTATATTTGAGTCTTTAAGTGTTATTTGGAACCAGCGACGGATCAGAGATGTTGTTAACTAGTTATGTTCAGGGGCGGATTTAGGAACTTTGGGGCCCTAGGCAAAGACAGGCAGACGTAATATTAAAACAGACTCTGTAACTAATGGGTCCCTTTTTTATTTAAATAATAATTTTAAACTGAAGGTTTTTCACTTTTAGCTTCACTGGTTTAAAGGTAGGATCCAGTTCCAGGTTTTGCACAGATTTAGAAAATGGACATTGGATCAGTCTATTTTCTGGACATGTGCAGCAATGTGGTGGATTTTTATCAAAAACTTTATTAATGTGCACAACTAAGGAATAGTTAAAATAGGCTCCTTATGAACCAAAAGAGCATCAATTCACCCTTAGAACTGACTTCATAAACTGGAAATCCAACTGAAAACATTTGAAATAACTTAATGCAATTACGTTTTTGGTTCTTTTATTGGCAACAGGCTGCCTGCCACATTAAGTCTAATATTTAAAAAGACTTAATGTGGCAGGCAGTGGTTTTAAGTTAATTTTCTCATTATCCAATGATAATGAAAGATGAAACATGGTAATGAGATGATTGGTGTGTGTTAACCTCATTCCATCCTTCAATACCACAACATCAGGAGAGGATTTATGAGTCATATCAGCCTGTGTGTAATTGTGTAAATAATCCTGTGTTTAACTTTTAGGTAACGAGACGATGTTGCTGGTTTGATGATTTGCTTCCACTTCTGCTTCATAAGCAGTTAGAGCAGGGGTCTGCAGCCTGCGGATCCAGGGCCACACATGGCTCTTTGGACCCTCTCCAGCGGCTCTTAATAGCGGCAAAAATGTATTTAAAGAGCTAAATAATTTACTACAATATATACCGGTAAAAAATATATAAAAAATATATGAATTGATTGTTTGATATGGCAACAACTAATTTCCTATACAAGATTAAAAAAAAAAGGTTTTCTAGAAAAAGTCATGGTATATTTTGCGGCTCTAAACAACTTTTATTTGGTCGTACTCTGAGCAAAACGGCTCTTTGGATATGAAAGGTTGCAGACCCCTGAGTTAGACCTTTGCCTCCAGGTGTTTCTGAACAGCCTCGGTGTTACGCCTGGAACAGCTATAAGAAGCATTAACCCCCAAAATGAGTCCAGATTAAAGAGTTTCATTTCCATCTGAAAAACTCACACGGAAAGAAAAGACAATTAGAATCATTTTATCGATGCATTACTTTAGTCTTTGGCGCTCAGACCTCGGCAGGAAACATTAGCGCTGGGATTTTATTTGATATTCATTAACAGGAGCAAAGAACAGGGATGTTTCCCCCCAGGCCTGAAACTGGTGGTGAAGTGGAGATAGATGGAGTTGGTCAGTCTGTAGACTGCTGGTTGAGTGGAGATAGATGGAGTTGGTCAGTCTGTAGACTGCTGGTTGAGTGGAGATAGATGGAGTTGGTCAGTCTGTAGACTGCTGGTTGAGTGGAGATAGATGGAGTTGGTCAGTCTGTAGACTGCTGGTTGAGTGGAGATAGATGGAGTTGGTCAGTCTGTAGACTGCTGGTTGAGTGGAGATAGATGGAGTTGGTCAGTCTGTAGACTGCTGGTTGAGTGGAGATAGATGGAGTTGGTCAGTCTGTAGACTGCTGGTTGAGTGGAGATAGATGGAGTTGGTCAGTCTGTAGACTGCTGTGGAGGTCACACATAGTTTAACCCCTCCATGTGGTTTGGGTAGCAGACTGAGATGTAGATTTGAGACCTTATAAGGTGAACTCCGGATGCTGATTGGCCCGTGACGGAGGCGAATAGAAATCGTTTCTTCAGTTGAACTTCCACCCAGGCTGCATTAATAAAACAGTCAGATCTGTTTCTACTGTTTCCATGCAACCCAATCATCCATCACAACCTGGCAACGAGTGAAAAGAAAAAGGAAACAAAAAAATTGATTGAGATAACGAAATAAATATCTCCTTATCTTAAGAAACCAATTAATGGTTTAACCCCGATAACGAGATAGTTATGTCATTATCCCGAGAAAGAGAAGGAAAAAAATGACCTCTCTCTGCATCCGTACAGAACAGGCGACAATGACACTAACATCGAACTTCAACTGTCTGTCATCTTCCCTTAAACCGGTAATACTGTCCAAACTTTTCAGGCTGTCTTATTTGATTTTTCCATAGATTATGTAAAATAGTAACACAGTTCCTGGCTCAGATCGATTCAGCCACTGCATGAATCAGGGCGTGATTTGGTCACGGTAAATATGTAATTCTATTCAGTCTATTTCTATAGCTCCATTTCATTTTGTCCGTGATTCATTTTTTCCTTAACTCTACAGCAATCCCTCACACTGAACATGCATGCAGCGACAGCAGAGAGGAGAACTCCCTTTGAACGAGAAGAAATCTCCTGCAGAATCAGGCTCAGAGCTTCTACCGAGGCGGACTGGGGTTCAGGGAGACAGACGCAGACATTCAAGAGGAGCATAGAAGCGCTATATCTATAAATAATTTCTTTCTTAGAAAAGCTAAAAGTAAACTAGCTTCACGGGTGACTCTGTCTAGGAAAGAAACACTTAAACAGACGAACTCTGAGCCAGTTTTCATGTCAGAGGATGAAAAAGAGCAGCTTTAGAAGCTGAGCCCATAGCTATGTCTAGCAGGAAAACAGGACTAAACACTAATAATCAGGCCCAGCTCTGTCATCTATTATCTCTTGACGGCAGCAGCACAGCTGGGAGGGACAGTGGAGAAGATTTTAACAGAGATTCATGCACAGGTGTCAAAACCTCTACAGACAAAAAAGATAAAAAAAAATGTGGTTGTTTTAACCAATAAATACAGCAGAATTGGAAAACAGAAGCTGAATAAAGCAGAGAGAAGAAAGTGGTTGCTATGTCCTCCAGCAGCCTCAGCCTATAGCAGCATAACGATGGAGAAATCTTAGTAAACAAACACATCAGCCTGGTACATACTCTAAGAAAGTGAGTAAATCCGCAGAAATCACTCCTGAGCAGCAATGCTCTGTGTCCGATAGGTTTCTGATTCATGCTGCGAGTCATGCAGGAGGTGACTAAACTAACCAAACATTTCACTGGGCAATTCCTACAGAATAATAATCTGAATTGGAGCCATTTCCTGTAATTGGAAAATCATCCCAGCATCATCAGACTAACCTGAGCTGCTTTCCTCCTGACTTTTAATCATTTATAGAAAATTTAAAAGGAAAATATTATAAAGAAAATTAAGATTTACAAGAAACAATAAAAATATGTTTATTGTTTCCTTCCTTCCTTCCTTCCTTCCTTCCTTCCTTCCTTCCTTCCTTCCTTCCTTCCTTCCTTCCTTCCTTCCTTCCTTCCTTCCTTCCTTCCTTCCTTCCTTCCTTCCAAACATAAAAACCATCAAAATAATTACTAGTTTTAGTTTAGTTGCCCCAACTAGTTGCTCACCACAAACCAAAATAAATTGTTTTTCCAGATGATGCAAAGTTAAATGTGACTCTGTTACCATTAGTAATAAAACTAAGAAAATAAAGTGTAAGGACGTTATATCCAGAATTGTAGAAAAATTGCATTACTTTTACTTTTATACTTTAATTAGTATTAAAAAATTTTACTTTTACACTTTTACTGGAGAAAAAAGCTGAAGTTGATCCTCTAACTTCTTCTACAGCAGGATTTATACTGGAGGAATAAACACCTCTGGTTAGAGCAGTAAAGTTTCTGCCAGTTTCCAGATGATACCAGATGTTCTTCCTTCATCTCTCCTCGCAGCATCATGCAGGATCATAGCAGACATGCAAACATCTGTGATCTGCACTGCACAGCTGTTTGCAGCCTCCAGTGTGGAGCGGCTGCAGAGAGGACGTGTTGGGATGTTATCGACTGATGAACGTGAGAGCTGCACTGTGAGAGCGTTATGGCCTGTAGCTGGTTCACTTTACAATTCATTACACTCTGAAGGACAAACTCTGCGCTTCCTGTCGCTCTGATCCATCAGCAGACATAACAAGTCACCCATCATCCTCCTGCTGTGGGCTTCAGTTTACTGGGCAAAATCAGTCAGATAAAAACATGATTTTAGGAAAAAATCTGTTGGTTTTAAGGTGTTTTTAACAATTATCTAAGAGTTTCTGATGTTTCCCAGTAAACCCAGTGAGCCCAGTTGACTGTTCCTCTACAGAGACAAACTGAATCAGACTAAAGAATCACCTCTGATTGGATCTTTCTGTCAGAACAAGAATGATTGACAGCAGCGGCGGCTGGTGGAGTTTTCTCCGGGGGGGGGGGGGGCATAAATCCAAAATAGCTGTATTCCCCACCGCTTATTACAGCTTTATATTTATATGAAGGCCAACGGCAACAAAAAATATCATAAAAACAAAACCTAATTTCATGTCCAGGTTTACTTTTTGTACATAAATCTTTCCCTTCTGAGGTTCTGTGGAGGTAAATCTGTGTTTTGCTCGGTCCGATATTATTTCAATCTGAAAAACTCACAGAAAGAAATGATCATCAGAAGAATTTTATTGATATGATAGTATAGTCTTTGGCGCTCAGACCTCGGCAGGAACATTAATGCTGAAATATGCTTTAACATGCATAAGTAGATGAATGAGAATAGGGATGTCCCCCCCCGGCCTGAA